AAGGTTGGTGCAAACCCGATCGGGCCGAAAACGCTATTAGATACAAAATAAAACTTGAAATATGTGGTCTGTTTTCTGTTCCTGCACTAGGCTGCTGTAGAACGCTCTTCCTCGCTTTCGACAAATATCAAATGTATATCTATCTCACTTTAAGTTGTAAAAGTGTACACTAGTTCAGCTACGGAAAACAGACCTAATTCTTTTCTACGTGTATTTTGCGCAAAAGTAACACTCTGAACACAAATGTATCAAACTTAATGCCTCAGGGCCCTTGCTTGATTACATAATTCACTACAATCACTATTACCCCCGTAGTCGCTCTATCTCTTTCTAGGTTTACCAAGATGGTTTTGATGCTAGTGCTCCGTCCAGTACTATCCTTGGGTGTATTCGTTTACGCAGAAGTATTATTTTATCCTCGTTGTTCACCGAGTGTTAAACAAGGATTAAATAATACTCTCTGCGGTAAGCTCTGCGTAAACGAATACACCCTATATGTCGATGGTTGGGGCTTGGGCTTGGGCTTGGGGCGCGCGCGGGCATGCGCGTTCGGTGGCGCCGTCGGCGGTGCAACGACGTACTTGTACTTTAGTGACAGGCAAGATGGCCGAGCGGTGGTAATGGGTTGTGGTATGCATCGCTGGTGGATTTGCAATCACGGCGCAGCACGGATGGCCTAGCAATGGCCGAGTATAACATCGATATCGGCAAGCTGCCGGAGGACGTACGGGAGAAGCTCGCCGAGTTAGACCTCGAGCTGTCCGAAGGTGAGTGACCGTTTCTTTCGACTTCGGCTGGGCAATGCAGTGCCAATCATCCATCGCCTCTCGCACTCTCGCGACGAACTTCGTTCTCTCTCTCTCTCTCTCTCTCTCTCTCTCTCTCTCTCTCTCTCTTTCTTTCTTACTCGCGCTCACTGTTTCTACGTTCATCTCGCTCTTTTTGACTCACCCTGCTACACCGATAGAATCCCCTAGAAGCCCCCGTTGATAAAATCGATAACATCTTACGGTCGTTGTCGTTTCCGTTCCTTGTTGCAAGGAGTCCGAAATTCTTGTTACTTTTTTTTTAGGGATTCGCAGTGTCATTTTTTTATAAATAGGATAACGGACCAAGTATTATTTAAATTTAAAAAAAAAAAGTAAAAAAAGCTTTCTCTCTCTCTCTCTCTCTGTGTGTGTGTGTGTGTGTGTGTGTGCGCGCGCGCGCGTGTGGTGAGCGTGCGTGTGTGCATGTACCCCTTTAAGGAAAATTATAACAAGGTATACGAAATACTTAAATTGCGTCATTTACAAATTTCTTTATTTTAATATTTTCTCATTTTATGTGTACTGTTTTCTCTTTAAATTCTTTGAGATTAAATATTATATTCCATTCGAATATGTATATACATACGTACATTTGAGTTGGAAGATACTTGAATGAGAAGACAGTGGTACATACTATTATTTTTTTTTTGTTAAATAAAAATACGTACCTCTTGGATTGTAATACAAAGATTTAAATACACTGAGAGAAAAATGTTTGGTATTTGTAACTATAATTACATATCACTGTAATTATGATTATTGTTGCTATAATAATAGTAACAGTAACTATGTATATAGCTCTAGCAACAAATGTATATAGTTGGCAACCTAAAATGACTATAATTATAGTTGAAATTACCATAAAAATGATTAAAGTGATTATAATTTTATAATTATATTTTGGACTACCATAAAAAATATGGTTGGTCCAAAATATAACTATAAAATTATAGTCACTTTAATCATTTTTATGGTAATTTCAACTATAATTATAGTCATTTTAGGTTGCCAACTATATACATTTGTTGCTAGAACTATATACATAGTTACTGTTACTATTATTATAGCAGTAATAATCATAATTATAGTGATATGTAATTACAGTTACAAATACCAAACATTTTTCTCTCAGTGTAGGAGCATAAATAGTACCTCTTAGTTTATAAGTGTTGTAAAAAAATTAAAGATACTACTATTTGAGTTTTATTTAAAGCAATAAAAATATACTGTGTTCTTGAGTTCTATTTAATTAAATTTGATATTATTTTCTTAAGAATTAAAGCTACAATCATTTGGAATAGAGAGAAAAGATCTTGAATGGGGAAATACAAAGTATCACACTTGGGTTTTATTTATTAAAAGTAGTACAACAGTTATTTGTTTCGATGAAAAATATATTCCCTTTGTAATTAATGCAATTTAAATATTTCTTATATTTTTTTACAATTTTTTCTTAGAGGAGCACACACATACCTTTTTTACCTTTTTTTTTTTTAAAGGGGATTTTATTCAAATATTATGTATTTTGTATTAAGTATACAGTATGTGTATCTTCCATGCTAAAAGACTATATTTCAATTAAGTATGATTGTAAACAATTAATATTATACAGGTATAATATTGTATGTAAATTAAAAAATATCACCTTCATGTTTCATAATTATAACAGACAAATATCACAACGACGGTCTTTTTTATCATGTAAAATTTGTTATTTGCTTTACTATAAATCACTATTAAATGAGAAACATGTTTTGATACAACACACAGGAAATAATTAGGAGATACAAAATGAGTTCATTTGAAACAACATAGAAAGCAATTAAGAGATATAAATCTGGTTTACACTATTTTCATTTTGCCATTTGTTATGAATATTTAAAAATAGGCAATTTTTCTAATTTATTAATTAATGAATTGTATCATGCACAAAAAAAATGCAACTCTTATAAAAATAACATAATAGGATTTATCAATCGATGAATTGAAAACTCACTTGTAAATCTCTTAAGTTATTATTGCATTACTGAAAGTATCTTTATATAAAAGTATTGCATTGATATTTGATTAATAAGAGATGTATTGCTAAATATATATTATTTATTACCAACTTCTGAAAAAGAGATATGTCACTAAAATCTTGGAATAATTTTTATTCGCATGTTATTTTTATAAGAATTATTGTATTTAAAATTTTACTATCAGCTCTTAAACCTATTAGTCTCGGTATTTATAGTTGGTTTTTATTTCAAGACCGTCTTAAGTAATGTCCTAAGATGTGTGCTAATGCGGTTTTCTGATTGGTTTGTTACACCTCAAGATAGAACTTAAGACGGTCTTGAATATAAGAACTGTCTGTAAATACCGGCCAATTGTTCTACAAGAACAAGTGAAGTTAAACAAATTTGCTAACAACAAGTAACGAGATGGCTCCTTTTGCTTACAATAAGGTTTGCCTATGTATCACTTTTGCCGACAATTCGTTTGCGCATAAAAATTATTGCCCACAGCTCGATAATTGCTTACATACACTTTTACGCACAAGTAAAAATTTCAAAAATGAAGTTACATTTGTCTACATTAATTATTGCCTACAGCTCGAATGCCTACAAGCTGTTTGCGCACAAATATAAAATTAAGGTTATGTTAAGTAAGAAAATAATTTGTATTTTTAAAGCAGAGAATTTGTTTTAAAACAGAGAATTGGTGTTTTTAAAACAGAAAATTTGTGTTTTTATAGCAGAGAATAGTACATGTAGGCAATAATACATGTCGGCAAATGTGACTTCGTTTCTGAAATTTTTACTTGTGCGCAAAAGTGCATGTAGGCAATCGAGCTGTAGACGATAATTTTTGTGTGCAAATTGTCGGCAAAAGTGATGCAGGCAAACGTTGTTGTAGGCAATCGATTTACAAGCAAACGGGATCCTCTCGCAAATAACGGATGAGATATAAAATTTTACTTGCTAATGATTGATGAGTTATTCGAATGACGATTTATTTATTTATCGCAAATATATATAAATATTTTATTGATGAATACAGTTTTATTTTTCTTACCATTAACCCTTTTCATTGGGCCGCCTCCAATTTGGCTCATATAGTGTTTTTTTTTATTTAGTATCAGTTTAGGAATGTAGAATCGTGTAAAAAAGGAACCTATGTGCTGAATGAATTATTCAAAGAGTATGGTGAATCATTATTTTTCAGAGAAAATGAGAATTTTTTCAAATTCTCATACAAGCCATAAATTGAGTGAACACCGATTTTGGTCATCTTTGATCATAGTCTTAACCTCCTTTTCGTGATCTTAAAAGAAAAAATTCATTTTTTTTAATTGAATATAAAGTTCCGTGCGAATGCAAGAGATCGGGGTTCGACTCCCGGCCGAGGTAATATTTTTTACAATAAGAATGAATTATTTACAGATTTTAATATGTCATTCAACATTATTAAGATCGTTTCGAAGATGCGAATAAGCATAAAAAATTTGTTAAATTGCTAGTCAATTTAATTCGTGATATTACTGCGGTAGTTTAATAGAGTTAGATATAAATTCACATAAGAGAATCATACAAGCATTAAGATCCAGCTAGACCGTTTAAGAGGAATAATCTCCAATGGCTTTGATCGTGACAAATGATATCCAGGATATGATTCCGAACAACATTCAAGAGGTTTTAGCCGTTGATCGGATACCTCGGGTAATGCTAATGCCGGTGGTACTAACTTTCAAGCATCATAACTCGAAAAGTATTCAATAAAAAAATAACCTTATTATAATGTTTTGGAAACCTCTCGACATCGGTTATTAGATTCTTATAGAATCAAAAGTAGGGTGTTTTAAAAAATCGACGTGACCTTGCTCTGACCTTGACGACGCCACCCAAAGTCGAACTGATAAAATCGGTAAATAGATCATTTTGAACCCTACAACTTTTGTCTGAACAATTTTTTTCCAATAATGTGTTTCCGAGATAAAAATTTGTAACGCTTTATTTTGAACACCCGGTATATATATAAACTGAGGTTAGCTGAATATTACTAGGAATGCGTTCCACTCAACGTTCGCAATGCTCGCATGTATCATCTCATTCTTGTTTAATATTTTATATGTTATAAGAAGGAAATGATATTCGCGAGCATTACGAACAAGTAATCGCAAGTGGAACGAACCTTAGAGATTCAGGTTTAAATCGAGTTAGTGGAATCGGGCATTAGATCATGTAGAACAATTTAAGAAGCATTGTTTTTGTTATGATTTCTTTAACACATTAAGGCCCAGTTCCACACAACAACTCACGGTTAATTCTTAACCGTGAGTTGTGAAACTGAGCCTAGATGTTGTGTCGGTCACTGATGACGTTGATGACTAACGACACAAAATTTAACATTTTTATATCAAAAATTGAAAAGCTTTAAGATTAGAAAAAAGAAAATAAATTAAGCACTCGGCACTTAACGTGTTGATTGGATATTTATTGCGTGTTATCAAGTTATTAGTTTGCAGAAAAATGAGTGGACGATTTCACCGAGTAAAATAATAAAAGACGATTTTATTTCATAATTGTCGTGTTATTAGGCCAATTAGGCATACAACGTATTCATCTCAACGATTACCGCGATCTTGCACATAGTCGCATAACGATGTTGCTTAATCCTAAAGATTAGGGGAGATCGGGACTAAGTAGGCACCCTTTTCTTCAATTGCAGTTTTCCATAACAAAGTAAACGATTTCATAGTCAAATTATTATTAGCGTTTTATAGAGTGATTATAAGACTACAAGATGGCAATAAAAAGTTTCAGTGTTTGCAACTTCATTTCATATACACAAAAAATGATGTGATTCGAAAAATGAAATCTCAAAAATTACTTTTGACTATCGAAAACACGTTTGACTACCTGAACATAATAACGCGGCATCTAAACTAACGAAACTTCGTTGGTAAAGAAGACACGCGAGATGTCATCTACAATATAAATTGGAAACTCGTAAAATATGTTTTTGCCATTCAAAATTCAAATGCCAGCTTAGTTCCGGTGCCCATTTAGCCCCGGTCTCCCCTATTGTTAATTTGTACATATAGGCTACGTTTATATCGTGCGCTTAATCCGCAATCTATACGATAAGTATCTTTGTTTAATCTACATACAGGATAAACAAGGACACAGGAGTTGTATAGTCTGCCTAAATGCACGGTGTAAACGTAACCATTCATGTCTATTGAGATAGATGAAAAGCGTCGCTTATACTTGTAATTTTTAAAAAATTGAGCTCTTATATTTTGTTCATTATTTTTTGCTTCTCTGTTTTTTTATTATTTCTTTCGTATCGCTCTGCCAATACGTCGCATTCGTCCGACTTCGTCGCAGTATAAAACTTTTATTTTAAAATCAGTATAAGACTTCGGGATACGCAACGACAATTATGTAATAAGTCCTTAATTAATCTTTTGCTTTTTTACCAAACGTTTTGTTTCATCAGGCAGCAGGAGCGAGAGGAGAACAGAGTTGATTAACTACGATTTTGTCGCACGCGACACAGGTACAGCATCACTTTCATGGATCGTTTGTAAAATCAAGATCACCGATTACGTGCCGGGACTAATGTCGAGTCGTCTTGAAAGCCCAGCATGTTCCCCAGCATAGACACACTCCTTGTGCTTATCTGCTATTAATAATGTTTTAATTCTTCCACACCATTCTGACAATATATCTATGTATATATGTTTTAATGATCTATTATTCTGCTACGAGACACCTATAAGCTCCATAATATCCTCGGTATGTGAGTACATAAGTATCATGATACTTAGAATTCTGGAGAATCGTATCATATTGTTAGAGAGAAGCATCCCATAAAACACTTGTAACTATAGAACGTCCCATGACTTGCGATCTCAATTATATTCTAAGATTTCACCATAATACTATTTGATTAATTAATATTATTTATAAAATAATTGATCACACTCTTTTCTTAATATTTTGTAATAAAATGTGGAATCATAGTTGTAGAGGGTAGATAAGACAAATTTGGAAAGTATTACCGTGCTGCCATTTCGAACCGTCCAGTTCGTAATTGCAAGTGAAGTCGAAGCCGAAGCATTTAACTTGACAAGACGATTGAGTACAAACATCATAAACGTCTTAAATCTTATTCGTAAAAAGAGCCACCGATATTTAAGCTGGAAACACAATAGATACAAGCAATAGGCACAGGCGCAACAGGGAATAACGAGCCGTCCAATCAGAGCTCTGGGATATAATATCGAACTTATACCCCAAAGCTCTGATTGGACGGCTCGTTATTCCCTGTTGCCTGTGTCTATTGTGTTTCCAGCTTTATAGTAGTAGCCGATACTTAGGTCGGTATTCATAGTCAGTTTTTATTTTAATTGACCGTCTTGAATAATGTCTCTGCTAATGCGGCCCTCTGATTGGTTCGTGATCAATACTAACCTCAGAACCTGAGACGGTCTTAAATATAAGAACCGACTATGAATACTGGCCTTTTAGTAATCGATTCATAAATCGAAGTTTTTTTTCTCAAACGAAGTAATATTAAACAGCGATTCTTAACTCGCATCAATTTCAGATGTTGTTTTTTTTTTCACGGTTAAACTCCGTGAAACACATCACGCGACCGACAGTCGGCGCGAAATGCACGAACCGGGTTTCTAAAAAAGGGATATGATGGAAGGAAAGATTTGTGTGATCGAGATTTCGCGAATAATGTAGGGAAGGAAATTATAATTTAACGATTATTGATTGACATGCTCGCGGCTTTTAACGTCGCGGACTGTAAGAATCCCGCGAGGGAATTGCGGTCGATCCTCGTATAATCCCACTTTAAGAATCTCTCTCGTAAGGAGAGACAGGGAACAGAGTCGGGATCTCGAGCGTTGCGCGGTGGAGCTCGAGCAGTACGCGAGCGAGAAGTCGCTTCGGCTCGGCAAAGGATGCCGAGCGAGATGAAACGATGGAGAGTGGGATGCTGTGTGCAAAGAAGACAGGCGAGAGTGGACGGACGGCATGCCATCCCACTTCCATGTCCTTCTGTCTCTCTTTTACATTCTCTTCTTCGTCCGCTCGTTTCTGTGCGTTCTCTCATCTACTCTTCCGTCTAGCGACTTTTACATGCGCGAGCCGGCTCCCCGTAGTATATATTCTCTCTCTCTCTCTCTCCCCCCCTTCTCCCCCCTCTCTCTCTCGCACTCTCTATTTCTCGTTCTCTGTCTCTGTCTCCGAACTCTCGCCGCGTGCAAGAGAATTGCCTTGAGTCGTGGAGAGTGCACAAAATGCCAGTAATTCGATGCGACTTGGAGTACGCGCCTCGACGGTGAAACGAAGCGGGCACCTCGTGAATTCGAACGCGCAAACTGTCGTCACGCGAACTTGGAGCGTGCTCATAATTTCATACGTAAGATCTTCCGAAACCTTTTGAAGAGAGTATTTTATTTTATACAAAGCGATTGCGTGGACTCAACGCGCGAGTAAATTATTTCGCATGCGATGTGAGTGAGGTTTTTGTTTTCCAATTGAAAGCGAGTAGAAAAGCGTGTATCAACGAATATCCGTGACAGTAACGACAGTGATTTTAGCGGTCATCAGAGATTTGTGAGTGTCTGGACGGGAGTGCTTCATTTTCGTCAATTGTCAATCATTTCAGTGAACATTGCTAAAATTTTGTAAGAATCTGATAGTGCTAAGTGTATCTTTAGTGTGTTAAGAACGAATTACACACGTTTAAGTAATGAAGAAGAGTATATTTCATAATAAGTGCGCAGATTTTCGTCGGTTGAATGACAGAACTTCAGTTTAACATGATATTTCATATATTTTTTCCTTTTTGACTAAGGAAAATAAAATCAAATTTAATAACAATTTTTATACGTGAAACACAGATTCATTCAGAAAATTGCACTCAAAATTATCGAGAGATTGCGTGGAGAACGATAGAGAAAAGGATGTGAGACAAATGCTGTAATCGTCCGAGGGCATAGAAAGTATCCGTTGAAGTTTCAAGATACTTTCGTATTAAGTCATTGATTGAAATAGATTTGAAGGAAATCATAATTGATAAGATAAGAATTGATTAACGACAAAATAATAGCATGATCTAAAAAAATTGAGTATTACTGAAAAAAATGATTACCAGTAATACGACAATATATTAAATGAAGGTGTAAATACACAGATAAATATATAAATTAGGAAAGTATATTGAATATTACCTTGATAATCTCAAGTTATCAATTTGAGAGAATTACTTAAATTTAATAATTATATATAATAAGAAAAAATAATGTTCGTCGAACATTGTCTTGCTTGAGACAAAAACACTTTCTCGATATCGAGTGCATTAACTTTAAAGGCGCTCGTATAATTCGTACTGAATCTTTTCGTTTAGAATGATCATTCCGGTTGAACCCAGGACATGGAAGAAAAGGAAAGAGGAGGGCAATGAGGAAGAGGGAGGAGGAGCGGCAATGGTGGCGCAGCAACACGGCGTTGAAAAAGGAAAGCCACGCTGATCATCCACGACTGGAAGACCTCGACGTTGCACTTTAGCACAACAACGAAAAAGAACGAAAGAGAGAAAGAGGGAGGAAGGACGAGGAGAAGAATACGGATAGCGAAAGGGCAAGGAGGGCAAAAAGAAAAGAGAAACAAAGAGTAAAGGAACTAAGAAGGAGAAACAGAGAAGGAAGCAACGAACGAGGGGAGAGGAATCTGTAAATTTATTTTTGTTTTCATAAATATCCCTTTTTGTAAATCCAGGATTTATCCAAGACTTATTGACTTCACAAATGTTTCCATAGACTTTTGATTATACGGAATATTTGCATTGATAGTTCTTTTATCTCTTATCGTATATAGACCTTTATGATTCGCGAGTGCATCCATTAATCTTTGCTACACAAATATCACTTAGAAATGGTATAAATTTGTAGCGATTCCACTTCCGTGAGTCAAAATTTGTCGCGTTGCCTCATGAGGCCTCTCACCTTTCAAAACCTGAGAAGGCTCGTTAGTCGCAAGAAGGACCGCAACGAACCTTCCTTCAAGCGTAGCGAGTCCTTCAAGAGAATTTCTATTAGGAAAAGTTATCTGGACCGGGGTAAACGACGGAATCGTTTCCAGAAAAATTTGGAACCTGTTGTTAATTCTTCCTCGCAACAAGTGACGAATGATAAAATTGTTAATCAACAAATTAAGGAGGAAGAATTCAAGAAAGATCAAAAGCGTTCTCTCAGTCGCGACTCTATCACCTATGACGAGTGGCTTCAAGGAGTCAGTTCTTCTTCCCGCGAAAAGCTTCACGAGGATCACGACCATCTCGAATCTCTTCAGCAACCTAAGCCAACGAAAACCACAAAATTTGTCAAATATACTGACACGGATTCGGTTATCGAGGATTTGAAAATTCTTGAGCTCGATGCCTCGCCTGTTTTAACACCTAAATCTAAATCCTTTGGAATTGTTACGGAGCTAGGACGGGATCAGACAACCAATGGGCACGATACTTTTTGGATTCAAGAGTCCTCTGTAGAAGGATCGCTCAGTGTTAACATCAATCTTGGCAGAGTTTGGAGAGATGCGGCGCCATTTCCGGTCTCAGTTCCGCTATCGGCTCCTTATTCCTCTGTCTCGAATTCTTTAGTTCATCATTATCTGGATAGCGCTCTGAAGGAGAAGAAACCGCAGCCAACTGTTGCAAGAACGGTTTCAGCGCCAGAGAAGCCCGTTAGCAAGGAAACTTCGTCATCCTTCGGCTTCTCTCTTAGGATCGCCAGATTCGCTGATTTCAGGCCAGGGTGATTAGTTTTTCGATTAACAATTGATCATTGAAGATCGATAAATGATAGAGTATTTTTCTTTGCTTGATTTACCTTTGTTAAATTCAAATCTTTGATTTTTTGTCGATAAATCTTATTTTAAGTAATTAATTATGAACTCGAAAGATCTTCAGTTTTGTTCGAAGAATCTTTCGTTGTTTTAAACGAGGAGGATCTGATTGCGTACATCATTAATTAATCAATTTAATACAAAATATTCTTATTAGTAATATGTATATAAACTAGGAAATTACTACGCATCGATGTGAGTACTATCAGGATGTAGGCTAACGGGGTCCACTCGTTCTAAACAACTAGACAAAATGCGAATGTAATCTGTATTTAAGGTGGTTTTTTTAGTAAATCGAGTTACCATACAAATGTGTAATTTCTTTATATAATAAAGTTAAAGCCACGAACTTGAAGTATGTTCTACATACCTTAGCTTTCAAGTTATCGATTAATGAAAATGTTTGAAATGTTCGCCTTGTGCGTCAACACACGTTACTGTACATTTTAGCACATCTCGACGTTATTTAATGTTTACAAACAATATCCATCAATAAATCGGACAGGATTTCAAGCAGTCGGTATCTTATGTTCGCAAGTTACTGTTCTATTATAAATATTGTTTTAAGGCTGGATTGTTCCATCTTTCGGTAAATTTGAGCTCACTGTCTTACTCTCTTATGTTCTTACTCTTTTACTCTTTTGTTTATTCAATAAGTAAATTATCATAGTTTATCTATAAAGATGGAACCATCAGCCCTAAAAGCGGCAAAATGGTAATGTACACTTATTCTGAAATGGAACTTATGCCGACATGTATTTGATATACCTATGACCGTTCATGCATGATGGTATTCCGTCTCATTTTCATCTTGAAGTGAGAACATTCCTAAAACAGTGCCTTCGCAAACCGATAGATAGGGCGAGGCGGACCCACGCCATGGCCACCACGATCTCTGATCTCAATCCATTAATTTTTGTGGCCATTGAAAATCTATTGTGTATTCAACGCCGGTAAATAATGCGGATAATCTGCGAGAAAGAATACCAAGTGGATTTGAGACTATTCGAGGAATACCTAGTATTTTTGAACGAATGACTCAATGCTAAGGCGTGAAGTAGCGTGTTTACGCACGAGGTGAATACTTCGAATATTTTCTTTAATTTTTCATAACTTGAAAACTGAGGTATGTAATTCATATGATGTTTTTTATTTATTTTAGTGTATAGATTTACATCCTAAAGTATTGACGTGCATTTATGAAACACCCTGTACAAATATTACCATATACTTCTCTAAAAAAACACGATTATAATAATTTAAAAAATAACGATTGTAATGGTCATAAAGAAAGTAATAGATCAACGACCATTCCGAAAAGGTATTTAATGTTGAAATGGCAAAATATCGTGCAACATAACTTTATCGGTGGTGGACATGAAGCTTTTAATTTCATTGTAGATTGAAATAAATTTTCCCTTTTCTTTTCAACTTTCTTTTTTAAAAAATTTTTCTTTATAAAAACCTTGCTTACAATATATTTCGTAATTCGATGGTGCAACGTTGCTAAATTATCACAAGAACAAATTGTGCAAGAAATCAACTTCTTTTTATTTCATCACTTTTGTATACTATTATGTGTTTCATACTATTTCATTAAGATATGCATGTAGTTTTAATATTTTATCTAAATTATGAAGATATTTGTAACTTTAACTTGGGTGCCCTGGTGAGGCATCCAAAATTTTCGGTACTTTACTAAAGAACCACCTTAATATGTAAATATAATACATAAAAAATAATAAAAATTAGTTGTAGTCTTTATTAATAAAATTTTTCTTTGGTTGAACATATTAATGGAAAGATCTACATATACTACTCATATTTTCGCAATGAATTTCACTGATTGAATAAAATATTGCGTTGTTCAAGAATTCGATTGCAATCGACATTGCTTGGCTTTAGGATGACGCGACATGGTCTTTTTCGCCGGAAAACACCAAAACCATCGCCAAGTGTGAGCACGGAAGGTTACTTCAAACGAACGAGCGCGTCTAGACACTCTAGTTCTCGTCGTCGAAGTGGTAAGAGAACTTCTCAACGCGCTAACAAGAAGAATCAGAAACCTGCGGTTCGTATCAACAGTCCAGTATGGTTTATTCCACCCGAAAGACGTCGCTCGAGACGTCAACGCCGAGTCTGGCAAGAGATCAGATATTTCCCTGATGATGAGAGTCCAATCCTAGAGAGAATTAACGACTGGTCGTCGAACGTGTCTGACGATCAGTTCGACGATCAAAAGCTGCTGCTGTCAGGTGATTTCAATGAGCGTCGGGAAGATGATGCCTTGAACTCGATTGTTTCATCGTCCTTTGGTTCTTTTTCGGCGACATCGTCTTCGTCATCAGCTTGTCTGGTACAAAAAATCAGCGACTTTAACGAGGATAAGCTATTCTCTGAGGAGCTAAGGACCAACGGTCTTCTTGTGCGGGGAGCCACTTGGAAACTTTCGGCGACAACGACAACAACAACGATGATGTCAACGCCAGCGAGAACAATCATTTCTGGAAATTATTTTGCCAGTAGTCAATTCCTTACCTTTCTAGCCAAGGACATTGTCAAAGAAAGGTCAAAAAACGAAAGTTTCAACACAGGTTACAAATGTCTCTCATCACCATCAAGCGATAGTGAAGACGATGATGTTGATCACTTCAGTGATCGTAAAAAAAATTTTCCACAACGACAGCAGCATTTAAAAGGGCAAAAATCGGGATTTAGAAGGAGACCATTGCGTCGGAAGTCGCAATTGAGAAAAGCATCCGCTCAGCCGGTATTCCTTGTGCGCAAGTGCTCATCCTTGAGGAAACATTCCAGTAAGATCCGAATATACCATAGTTCTATAGATTGTTCGAGAAATGACAGTTAGTAGCCAAGGATGTCAGATTCTTTAAATCTTAGATCGCTATTTTATTATTACAAGGTAACGCAAAAGTAGCCAATAAGTCCCAAGTATTGCTCTGTAAAAAGGATAGAGTGAATCTAAAGAAATTCTTTAATATGATCGCCCTAAGTTTCCACAAATTTACAGGCCAGTATTTAGGTTGGTATTTATAATCTGTTCTTATTTTAAAATCGTTCTAATTAATATCTTAAGATGCAAATGCGGCTCTATAATTGGTTTATGACATCTTAAGACTGTACTTAAGATAGTCTTAAAATAAGAACGAACTATGAATATCGACCCTGTTACTAGACTGATCACTTCGTCGCCATGATACCAAGTAGTATTTTTGATATGGGTTGCCATTTGTTGGTCTACATTTGTTACTCACACATAAGGAAGAGTTGGCCAAGTTGCACCGACAGTTAAATCGTATTTTCATTTGTAATTTTTAAACGTTTTTTTTTTATGTGACAACACAAATGTGACGCTAGCAACATTGTTTAAGTATTGTCGTTTTTATTTTGTCTTCGAGGCATCCGTTTGCGTTCAAAATTAATTTTCTTTGGACTTTGATGTAAGTTTTCGTATAATTTACCTAAGCTGTAGTGAATTTAGGTGAGCACAAGGCGAGTAATTGAAGCTTAGTGTAGACACACGCGCGCACGCGCACGCATATACACACACTACTATAATTAGTATTTAAATTCTTTTCGTGCACAACATCAAATTAGCAATATGTTTGTGGGTTATGTTGCTGTTGACAAATTTGTCAAAATAGAGAAAGTTGGGTAAACCGTATTTCTCTCTCTTTTGTCTTTATATTGTACCTACGCATTTAAAATAAAATAATATATTGAAATTGTAAGTAGTTGAATAATACTTGTCGCTAGTCTTTATATTGTATCTATATTTAAGATAAAATAACATTTTAAGATTGAATATTTGAATAATACTTTATAATTATTAAATTTTGATATTTGTACAAGAAAAAGAGTAGTATGTTTGTATTGAGTCTTTTTAAGATAATTTATTAAAAATTGTTCATAGATATTATTTGTTGAATTTTAAAAAAATTAGATCTTTCTTTGGCAGATTCAAAATTACGCACGAAAATGCTAAAAGTATTCCGATTTCGATATATTCGAAAATTTGATATTGATTGTTAGAGCTGCTGATTTTGAATTTAATCTCAAATTTTGAAAATTAAAAACAGCGGGACCAAGTATAGCGGACCAAAATGCAAAAGTAGTCAGGGTTGCCACATCAGACAAAACCGGGAAAAGTCAGGGAAATTGAAATTGGTTATAGAAAACCGGGAAAAGTCAGGGGAAAGGGTAAAAAAAGTTTGGAATTTCGAAATTTGCTCACAATTTCCTTAAACTACTCCTATTCCAAATAGTTGTTGTAATTTTTTAAATATTATATCTGACGTTTATAGTCAAATGGAAAAGTCAGGGAATTTCAAAATTCATTTTCTAGCAACCCTGATTAATACATATTGACTTGTATTTTTTTTTGTAGGTTTTTCGGCTCGCTGGACACGTGTTTGTGTTCAGGGGGTCGATCACGTGAAACTTTTCGACATTTCATTTTCCACACTTTACTTTTCATTTTTCACTCGTTGAGATTTCACGTGTAACTTTTCACGCATAGCGATTAGGTATGTATGTAGTTTACCCTGACATTATTTTTATATATGCACGTACATACATGTATAACTTTTCTTCCGTCAATGCAATATTAACAATCTTATTCTTTTTCTTCTTTTTATCTACAGTCACGGCAACGGGCAGATTACACTTCAATTCCGAAGTATATTTATTAATTCTCTAGATTTCCACCTTTTCATTCTCTCAGAATATGGCGAAAAAGTTCACGTAAACAATTTTACATTTTCACAGTTTGGAGAATTACATGATCATAGGGGAGATCACGTGAAACTTTTCACGTTTCCGCCCTAGGGAAAAAATTACATGATCGACCCCAAGAATTACAAAATTTAAAATGGCAGATCGGATATGACAACATTCATGGACATGTACGCCTGTAGTTAGCCTACTGGTTCGTTCATAATTACCAGAGTCCACTACGTGGAAGTTACAGTACTTTTTTTAGACTCCTCTGGGCTGCTTTATGTGAGTCCCCTTGCCTCTCACAAATCGGACTGCTTGTCTCATGTGAGTCCCCTTGCCTCTCACAGTTCGCTGCGTTTTTCTTGCGGGAATGCACGTCGTGTTGTGAAAAAATAAATTATTTTCGCGCGTCAGTAAATTTTTGTCGCTTTTCTCTCTCTACGCTTACTTCGTCATTATCGTCGCAGAGTTAGCAAGTGATTTGTATAGAAGATTCATCGATGAAATTTATTTTTAATAAGTAAAAAGATAAAAATTTAAATGGCGCGCACGAAACACGCTGTGATTTTTAGTACAATAAAAAATGATATATAATTCAAATCTAACTATAAATAGAAGATACTTCTAACATAACAACTTCTACATTTAAATAATCTTATGGAAAGTACTATAACAGAGAAAATAATAATTATAAATTAACAACTATATTATATAATAAGATTTATTACACTATTTTCTTTAAGATTGTTGAATGTAGGAGTTAGCAGGTTAGAAATATAATTTTATTAAATGGACCTTTTTCTTTTGACCTCTGGATATGTGGACGTTAATCAATTTTGATTACAATTACACGGAAATTATGCGTTTCGCGAGTCCAAATCCATTCTTAGAATGTCAACGTTTCGTGAACATTGCAAGTCATGTCATTGGCACGAGTAACAATCTGGTACTGTTCCTCCCGGTGTTTGTCATCCTTTGCATATATTTTTTTATATGTTGCTGTTTTTTTGAGGGGGGGGGGGAGTAGGCGAGAATATCAATTATCACGTATAGTAAGAAAATGTATAAAAATATACAATTTCGTACTGTACATAATGATTGATATTGCGTAATAAAAGGCTGACATTAGTCCTAATAATGTATAATTTAAATTAAACAGTTACATATGAAGCTTGAAAGTGAAATCTCTTTATTATTGTATGTAAAATTGAAACACTTTCTGTAAAAGTGCCCAATTGTTAAAATTCGATTTTCTATTATAAAACATTATTAACTTATAAAACTATTAATGCTTTACAATAAGAAACCGAATTTCAGCAATTAGACATTTTGCCATAATTGTCTCAATTATATTAATATTTAACAAGCGAGTCAAAATGTACAAGGACCCCGCGCGATATTCGTCCCTGAGCTCGTCATTTTCAGACGCTACAATTGGCCAACTTCAATCGTTTATAATTTGATAACTATTGTAGTCTGGACATTTTTATATGCAAGATTTTTGTCTTAGAATGTTCCATAGAATCTGCTAGCGAAAGGACATCCCAGCATTTTAGGATACATTCTGTATATTTGAATCATTATGTATATTCAGAGATGGGAAATGAGTAACACCCTTATTTTTATCGTTACTTTTTATAATTACGATTTCCGTATCATACGTTGTCTGATCTAAATTTTACAGAAATTACTTTTTTGTGGATTGAAACCATTCTAGGGGGTGAAGCAAAAAGAATTCGAAACATCGAAAAATAAGAAATACACATATTTATATATAGTTATGTGAGTTAGACACTATTATATAAAATTATATGGTAAATATATATTTTAGGTTACACCTCACCAATTTGAATGTCTTTCAGATATATTATAGGGGAGAATGTCCTGAGTGATTTTCCACAAGAATTAAGTGGAGTCGACATTCTTAGACGATGTAACAAATAAAAGTTTCATAATAAAATTTGTATAAAGATGTTCATTTTATCACTTCGCGTGGAAAATCGTACGCCTCTTGGCAGGGGGGAGGGGGTAGATCTTGCTTTGCGTGATTGTATTGTTTTGCGTGAGTTTTCGATTTTTCATGCAAAACGAGTCCTATCCCATCTCCCCTTTGCCTAGGGGCGTCCGACTTTTTACGCAAAGTGAAGTCCACCTCTCCTTCCTGCCAAGGAGCATACGACTTTCCACGCGTTCATAATATATCTCCTCTATACCAATGTCATCCTTTGCATATATATATATATATATATAAAATGGAATTTTAATTTATCATATCTCCTAAACCAATACCGTCCTCCACTTAATTCTTGTGGGGAAGAATCACTCAGGACACAGCTCTTTCCTACAACATATTTTAAAGACACTCAAATCAGTGAGGTGTAACCTAAAATATATATTTATGATTATGTATGAAAAATTTTTTACCAGGCATATAATAACAGATTACATACAAATAGGATACTTTATAAAAATTATAGAAACTAGGTGAGCAAATAGTCACAATAATGTAACGTTAATAAAACAATAATTCAAATATCATTAATATGAAACGAAATAATTTTTTCTGGCATAACGAAAATTAAATATTTTTCTATAATTTTCTGTAATTAATATGTTGCATCGAGATCCCGTCAATGGCCAAAACTGTAGGTACAGTACCTCTCTGTTACACACTAAATTTCGTTAGAATCGTCGTATAATACGCATATGCGAAAAAAACGGTTCATTTAATGCTGATATTTCAGTGTCGTACGAACTTTTTAAGCCTATTGATTGGCTGCAGAACAGAGAAATCCTAGAACCTCTCTGTCCTGCATCCAATCAACAGGCTTGAAAAGCTTTGCCGACATGTATTCACTGCTGCTTATAGTAAACAATTCTGTGCGCGTTTAGTCACTACGAGAGAGTGAATGGTCTCTCTCTCTCTCTCTCTCTCTCTCTCTCTCTCTCTCTCTCTCTCTCATCTCTCTCTCTCTCTCTCTCTCTCTCTCTCTGCGGTTGTATTTGACGGTAGGCCTTGCTATTCGGCGATCTTTAGAAATTAATATCTCGTTATTTTCTATTACGTCGTTTCTATTGCAAAATGTTAGATAACTTTTTCCATTTTCAGTTTAATTCGCTCACAAGATGAGAATCTCGTTATTCTGAGGCATTCTGTATATTGCTCCTATTTGTATCCCACACACATCTTTAGTTTTATTTATATTCTTGTTCCTAGTTTAAGTAGGTATTATTTTTAATTATTTTTATTTAAATAAACAAATGCAATAACGGAGATAACGATAGAACATGTTTTCTTGAGAACAATTCAATAAAATTAATATCGTACTTTATAAACTGTACCAATGGTTTTGACGTTTACTCACGATATTATGAGATGATCTGAGATGTAATATTAAACGTGGCTATAAATTATTTCTTGGATCAAGTTATTAATTAAGTTGTTTTCCGCTGTTGCAGGAGATATTACACAGAAGGGTTATGAAAAGAAACGGACGCGTCTACTTCAGCAATACGCTTCGAAGCAGATAGGTAAGTGTTTCGTTTTTTTAGAATTCATTAAAATTCTTTCAAGTAAACAGCGGGAGATATCATCGCGCAATATACGGTACGGAGCGGAAAAGTCAGCGAAGTGAAAATATTATTATCGCCCTACATATTCAGTCATATATTCGATTTCACATAAAGTATTATATTTTTCAAAGCAAGATTTTTAGATAAAGGTTTCAATATTTTGTTAAAAGCGCTTCCTTTTAATTTCCTTGATGAAGTCCTATTAATTATAGTTTGTAACATTTGGTCTACAAGAAAAAATATAAATCTTTTTATTTTACAATTAGGTGATACTTATCTCTCTCGTCGCATCTTGGTGCGCAATGTTGCATCATTGGGACGAAATGAGTTTGCAATATCAATCACGTTCTGATTCTCAAGAAACACGTGCTTCATTGTATACACAATAGTAAATGCAATCTGTATAAAAGGAAGGGACAAGACGCAATCTTCGCGGCACGCGTCACTTTAACATTCTGCACCTTATAACTGCAATATACAATTACTCTTGGTTGCGTTATGCGAGACACGGAACGCGGATTGAGAGAATCAAGAGAAAATAGCGTTTAACAAGAAGAAGAATGCGCGGCTTCGTGAGATATTACTTCTATTTAATTTACAGAACATTCGCCACTTTAAATGAGCTTATTTTGAGCTCTATGAAAATCGTATGGGAACAAATTTCAACAGTGATCAGTATTTCCACATCGCAGGTGCGAAGTGTAAAGCTCCATCTTACATAAGACACAGAACGCGAGTCGCAGGTCGCAAGATTAGAAACTAACGTATTTTAATTATAATCAGTTGCAGGACGCAGAACCCAGACAGCACACAACAACGTCCATTGGACGTCCAAATCTGGTTTTTATTTAGTACGTCGATGGATTTAATAATGAATATTTTTAAATGTACGTTATTCCACACACTAAGAATATTAACATTTGGATGTTTTAAAAATGTCTATCTTATGTATTTGCATCCCTAAATTTTCCATTGTAGAATAGTTATGAAATAGCATTTAATAGAATGATGTCTCACACTGTGATCACAGTGTGATCTAGAATGAAGTCAAGGTTGAAGTGAAATCATGGCTCTGATCCATGGACACGGTTTCTTATAACACTGGTATAAAAAAAAAACTGGTGTCATGTTACGAAAAGTGCTTAAATGTCAATAGTGACTATGTTGAGAAGTGACTTAGGAATCAAGTTAATAAAATAAAAAGGTGGCATAAAATTGTCTTATTTTTTATTTTCTTTTACTACAATAGGGAAGCTTAATATTTGGACGTCCCTCGTATATTACATTTCTTACCTTTTTTAATAAAAATTATTTTTAGTACTACTTCAGGAATTTAATTTTTTAATGCCTTTTAAATATTTATGTTTTAGTTATATAATAATAATAATATCAATATATTTAAAATAAAATATAAATTGCATATTGGACATAAACAAGTTAATCCGAAATTACATAAAAACGATTAACACTAAAGTCGTGTTCTGATATACTACTAGTAATGAAAATCTATAGTTCAAAATACGCACATTATAGATTTTCATTGTTAGCAGGGTATATCGGAACACGGCCTAAGTATACCTAAAATCCCCTGTACAGTTTAGCAATGCCTATAAAATGGCACATATAGATATAAAATATATGTATATGTCGAAATGTGTGTTTGGTGTGAATGTACGTACGTTTTTGCCACGTTGGTAGCGCCATTGTATGGACATCTCAATCAAAAGATGTCTAGGCATTTGCCAGAGACATCATTACCCTACATAAAGGGACCCTAAGTATACCTACCTACGTGTATAAATTTAAACAGGTAAAATAATAGCTGCTCCCCCCCTCTCCCTTTCCCCCTACTCATAGACCACAATTGAATATAATTAATTGAATCAAAAATTCCAGTCTCATTCAATTGCTTGACGAGCAGATTATCTCTTATCTGCTAGAATTCGCTGAATATATGAAATAAGTTCAGCCCCGCCATGAGAAAAAATATATTTATTTCTGGAATACTGAGGATGGCCCGAATTGGAGCCGAAACGTCTGTCTGTTAGGATTTTTAAAAGTATTACTTATAAATTTTTTCTATTCTGCACGAACTACCGCAGTTGTGACTCTCATTAGCCCAATATTGTTTATATTATTTGACATTCTCGAGAGTTATGATTTAAGTTTATTGAAATAAATTCTATTTTAGTACGTTATATCCCTAAAAAGAGGATATTTTTGGGATGTCCAAAAAACTAACACTGTAAACGTCCAATATGTCCAATATGCATTTTTAAAACATCACTGTGCTGTCTGGGAACGCAAGACACAGGAAATTGGATGAACTCCAACTTGCGCGTCCTGCGTCCTATCGTATTGCAACCTACGACCTATTATAATCTGAAATACGTTTCACTTGCGACGTATGATCTGCGTTCTACGTCTTATATATGTACAAGTGTCGTTTGAAAAGTTTTGAGTCTAACATAGAAATAAGTTTTTTTTTTTGGTCAAATTTAAACAGTTTTATTTTTCAACGTAGTCTCCTTTTAAGTCGATACATTTTTCCCAACGATGTTCCTACCCTTTTAACCCATTCAAATAACGGTTGGCGTCTTCCTCTGCAAAATAGGCTTTTACGGATGCGATGATCTGCTCGTTCGATGAAAATCTGTCCTCCAAGCCAAACTTTGAGCCTAGGAAACAGAAAAAAGTCGCTGGGGGCCAGATCTGGTGAATACGGTGGGTGATCAATCAATTTGAATCGCAATTCGTGAATTTTTGCTATGGCGACCGTCGAAGTGTGAGACGGTGCGTTACCTTAATGGAACAGCACTTTCTTTTTCTTCAAATGCGTCCGTTTTTTCGCAATTTCTACCTTCAGAGCTTAATGATACTTAAAGTACACCCTCGTTATTGTTTTATCTTTTTCAAGATAGTCGATGAACACAATTCCATGAACAATCGCCATCACCTTCTCGGCCGATGAAACCGTCTTTGCCTTCTTCGGAGCAGATTCACTCTTCGCAATCCACTGTTTTGACTGTTCCTTTGTCTCAGGAGTGAAATGGTAGATCCACGTTTCATCAACATTTATTAATCGACGTAAAAAATCCGACTTGTTTCGCTTAAACCACTCCAATATAGAGTCTTGAAAATATTCGTTCGAATGTGTTTTTGATCCACAGTGAGCAAGCGCGGCACTCAACGCGGGGTTAGCTTACGCATACCTAATTCTTCAGTCAATATATGATAAACACATTCTTTCGATATGCCCACAGTCTTTGCTATCTTTCTAACCTTGATTCGACAGTCGTCCAGTATCATTTGGTGAACTTTTTCGATGTTATCGGTGGTGGTTGCAGTTGTTGGCCGTCCCGAACGCTCATTATCAGCTAAGCTGGTACGAGCATGTTTAAATTCAGCTGCCCGTTTTTTCACGGTGACAAATGATGGGGTAGAGTCCCCCTAAACAGCGTCCAACTCGGCTTTAATTTGCGCAAGCATTGCCTTTCAAATGCAACAACTTAATCGCGATATTTCGATTTTTTCCATTTTTACAAAAACACTGACAAACAACTAAACGTCCAAAATGGCTACAATTTTCACTGGCTGTATTTTTCAAAGCATATACGATTGTAGTACCAGAATGATTTTTACGAATAATGTCTTCATGTTGAGAGAGAAAGAGAGAGACTCAAAACTTTGCAAACAACCTACATAGATCGGGCATAATGCGAATCATATCCGAGTCGCCAACCGTTACTACCACAATTGTCGCGATCGTTTACGTGAGATTTTGTCTTCTCGTCGCAAATTACTGGAGACACAGAATTGCGTAGTTTTCACGCGTTATTTGCTGGTTTGTGCAAGCTGCATTCCGTAAACGCGTCTCTTCGATGGCACCCCATTGCCTATTAATTTAATTCTTTTACGGTCTATTTTCCATTTTAATAATGAAATTAAAATGTGAAATTATAACCAAAATATTAAAATAATGGAGTTTATTTAAACATTCTCGGAAAAATTTTTTATGTATAATTACAAATAATTGTGTATAATATTATATATGTATAATCATATATTATATACATTCATATAATTTTATATAATTATATATGGAACTTTTTTCCTGGGATTGCAGTCTGCGCATCTGCATGGTGGTCAAGATTTTAGCTTCGATAAATTATCTAATATAAAAAAAATTGACTTTTTTACATTTTCCATTTATTATTTCCGATTCACGAAGGGAATTAAAAAGTTTTATTTTTCACGACACTCAACATGTTTACCATGGGATTTTTTTTTTTTTTTTTGAAAAATTCTGTTCTTTTAGTTACACACAACTTGAGAAAAAAAATTAAAAAGAAAAACCCTTCGAGAAGGCTTTTTTTAATTTTTTTTGTTATAATATTTCCAATGTAGGTTTGTATTACAAATGTTACTTTATAAAACTTCAAATTAATCAATAAAAACATGCTTAAATTATGGCTATCACATTTCTAAAATAATATTTTTTAAAAATCGCGTTTAAAGACGAGCTGTAAATTTTGCAATTTTTAATGGTTTATAGTTTTTTTTAATATTTATCTACAACGACTAATCTATATTCACTTTTGTGACTTGAAACTAATGGAAAAATAAAAAGAATTTCCATTTTTTTTTTTAATTTCTAAAGTCCTATAATCTCCCTTAAGTACATAAATACGAATATAAATTTTATTATTTTATATTCTTTATTGTTTCGGAATCTCTTTATACTAACGCAAAATCTAGTTAGAATTTGATAGATAATAAATATATAATATTTGAGAATTTCTCTCTCTCTCTCTCTCGTATGTTTCCAATATGGAGTCATCTCGTATACGAGCGGGCCTTTGCGTCCACAGCTGCGATCGGTAGAATAGGTGCAGTTTATCGGCTTGCAGTTTAACTGTATCTGCACACGGAAGAAGTGCTTCCGCGTTATTCGCTCG